ATATGGTTTTTTTTTGCTGGCATATATGTGTGTGCACCACATGTATGCAATACCCACAGAGACCAGAAGAGGGCATCAGTTGCCCTGGAACTGAAGTTACAGAGGTTTGTGAGCTGCCATGTGGGTGCTGGGAATTGAACCTAGGCCTCTGGAAGAGCAGCCAGTGCTCTGAACTGCTGAGCCATCTTTGTAGTCTCCCATGTAATACATTTATTTATTTATTTATTTAGAGACAGTTTTCCTCTGTGTAGCTCTGGCTGTCCTAGAACTCACTTTGTAGACCAGGCTGGCCTTGAACTTAGAGATCCGCCTGCCTCCTGAGTGACGGGATTAAAGGCATGTGCCACCACTGCCCAGCTTTCCTGTGTATTACTTAAAAAAAATTATCCTTCAGAGTAGGGCCTGAACGTGCCTCGTATTTTAGGGAAATAATGAAGGACTGGAAGTTACCATGGGCTTCGGTGTGGAAGACAGAATCCGTGGAGAGGAGGCTGTTGGGGTCTGTCCTTGTTACTTACACAAGGCTAGCCCTGGAGTGTAGCTTCTGCAGTGGGGTCTGGAGTCTTCTCTCTTCCCTAGGGTCTTAGGGTATCCTGATACACAGGCCACACCCAAGTAGGCCCTCACAGGTCAGACTCTGATGGAGTCTCTGATGGGAACTATTTGCCATCTTGAACCCGGGAGGATGAGCGAGGGCCTGTGTATTTCTTCACTTGGAGCTGTTAGGGTTTCAGAACATGTGGGCAGGCACAGTGCTCAGCCCATGCTTGGTGTTCCCACGGAGCCCCCATGTCAGCTGAGAGAGCCCTACATGAATTTATGTGGGTAACGGGCCCAGAGGAAGGGAATCCTGGGGGACCGGCCAGAGCCTGTCTGGCCGTATTTTCTGGGCTCGTCTAGTTCTATTTTGCCCGCCTCCTACCTAACTCAGACAGCTGTGCCCCATCAGCTTGGTGCTGGCAGCCGTATGAATCGGAGCGGAGGCTGCCAGCCTTGCCCAATTACCGTGGGACCAGATGTGCATGTGGGCAGGTGCCCAGGCTCCTCTCCGCTCACGCAGGCTCTCAGGTGGCCACGTGAGTCGGCAGCCAGCCTGTTTCTCCCCTGGGAAGGCTAGAGTTGGGCAACGGAATTGTTGGCCCTGCCTCTTTCCTGGGCAGACAAGACCCTGGCCTTTAGCTGTTAAGTGAAGTGTGTGTTGGATTCTATCCTTGCTGGGGGTTGAGGAGCAACGCTCTTCTTGGAGGCGATAGCCAGCCGTGCCCATGCTGGGCCATGCCAGTCCTCTGGTTGGCAGGGGAACTGGCTGTGGGAGAATGTTAGAGGAGGCTGCTTGGGTCTTCCCCTGCTCTCGTTGTGCCCAGCCTGGAATGCCCCAGTCATGCGATACTAGAAAGCTGTTGTAGCTCCTACTATACAACCCCATCTTCAGCAGCAGCTGGAGAGGCCATGGAGGACCCTGGGCCTGGTCACAGTGAGGATGAAATGATATGGCTAAGGACCTTGAGAGATGGTCTAGTGGTAAATGCTTGCCATGCAGACACGAATTCGATCCCTAGCGTTCATGTAAAAAAGATGAGCGTGTAGTGTGGGCCTGTAGTTGTTCCAGCGTGGGGAGGCAGAGATGGGTGGGGCTCCAGGCACTGTGAGATATACCCTGTCTCAAAAGATCAGGTGGAAGGTGGTTGAGGACCAGTGTTGACCTCTGATCCTTATACACACGTGTGCACAATGCACATGCATATATGTGCACCGTGACACATTTGTGTCCGATGCACTCAGGCTTCAAGGAACAGAAGTAAACAAACATCTCAGGACATTTTTACCCCAGGAAAAGGCCTCTGGGTCTCCTGGGATTTCCCAAAGGCTTGACCACTGGAATGTCTGAGGAATCTCCTTAGACTCTTGGCTCCATTTCAAAGTAGGGGGCCTGTGTTGCAGGGGCAGCAGGAGGTCAGGGAGGACATGCCACAAACCAGTTTAGTCTTAAGGCCTGCCTGGGCACAGGCTTGGGAGGGTGGAGTGTGTGCATTCTGAGATTCTTTAATTTTTAACAATTACGTGTATTTATGTATTTATTTGCCGTGGTGCAGAGGACAATTTGTGTCAGTTTTACACTTCCACCATGGGAGTTCAGGACATTGAGCTCAGGTCGTGAGACTTGGTGGCAAGCCCCTTTATATGCTGAGCCATCTCTCGGGCTCTCTGAAATGCTTTGAGACTCCAGGCCCTTGTGGAACTGGGGTTATAGCCTGGCCCCACTGGGATCTGTAGTCAGACAGCTTGTTCCTTGGTTTCCTCACCCAGAAGTCTCTGTTCTGATGGCCACAAACTCAGTTGTCTAGAACTGCTACAGGCTGTTTGCTATGACTATGACTAAACACTTGAGTTTGGATATTGTATAAAGTAAAGAGGTTTATTTGGCTCACAGCTTTGGAAGCTGGACATCAGACAGCCCCAATCCATTCAGGGTGATGGGGGTGATCACATGATCATGCATGAAGACCTTCATTTGGTGAGAATGGAAGCCCGGAAGGCTCAGCATCAGGCCGGTTCATTTGGTAACGGCCCACTCTCAGGGAAACTGGGGTCCCATGAGAACATTAATCTCTTCCTAGGGTGACCCATCCTTAGCCTAATCACCTCCCTGTGTCCCACCTCCTGAAAGTCTCACTACCTTAACACAGCCCCCATGGGGACTAGGCTTCCAGCACACGGGCCTTTGGGGAACACACTCAAACCGTGTCTGCAGCACAGCAGTTGGGAGCCCTAAGGACCACTGGCTGTGTAGTTGCTCAGCTGTGGCACATGCAAAACACTGGAGAATTCTATGTAGGCTTCAAAACCCACAGGGCTGCTGGGTGCCAGGTGCCCGGGCCTGTGCTCCATACTGTTTAGCTGTCTTCTTCAGGCCTAAGACTTTCCAGGGAGATGCTAGGCCCCACTTACAGGAAGTTGATGTGTAAGCAGGGTTGGCGCCATGCTGGCTGAATGCAGAGCCCACATCCGTTTACCAGCTTGTACCCTGCCTCTTCGTGCGCCTGACTTTCCAGAAGTCAGCTTCCTGTCAGGCGCAAGAATGGGGTCTGGACCCTGGTCCTCCCTCCCCCAAGACTGTGTAACAGTCATGGCTGTTCTAGAACTCATTCTGTAGACCAGGCTGGCCTCAAACTCACAGAGATCTGCCTGTCTCTCTGGCTCCCGAGTGCTAGGATTAAAGGCGTGAGCCACCGCCCGGCTAAAGACACAAGGAAGCATGTAGTTGTTACACCATCTCTGGCCCATTTCTAGCAATCAGCTGACATTAGGGCCCGTGGGAATTGCCATGGAGACGCCCGAGTCCGGGCTTTGATGCCGCCTTCCTCCTCTGAGAGGACAGGAATGGTAGCCTGGAAGAAAGGCGGGGGGCCCTTCCACCAGCGTAGCCACGGAGGCTTCTCTCTCAGTGTGTGGGCCCTGGATGCCCAGTTGGGAAGAAGTGGAACTCCATAGCCCCCGCGGTCTCTGGTCTCTGGCCTGGTGCTTTCAGGTAGAACTTCAGTGAGAGTAGAGAAAGCACCAACCAGGAATGGGAAGTCTGAGTTTAGCCCCGCCTCTGCCCCTAATATGCTGTGCGACCTCGCGACAGCTATGTCCCCTCTCTGAGTCTAACTGCTACATGAGGAGGCTGTCAGGGGCAACTTTTGGCCCTTTTGCCCATGACCGTTAGGAATCTTGGCAAATGTTTCAGCAGAGGAGGACTGGCAGGTTCTTCACCAGCAGAGGGCAGCAGCCGCCTGGGAAAAGTCAAGTGTCTCTCTGACTCTTGCTGCAGCACCTCCCAGCTGTCTCCCCC